TGAGGTAACTATGGCAGCAGCAAATTTTATTTATCCTGATATACCTCTTTGAGGATTAAGTGTTTGGAAAAAAAAAAGTTAAATTTACATCTTTGTAGCTTAATAAGCTTATAGCTTATCCTAGTTTTTATCTAGGATAGAATTTGGATAAGGTCTGACCTAAAGTCTGGGTCCATTGCTCTGCCCTTGCTTTGGCTGTACACACCACTGCATAAAGTGTAGCTTCTTCATTCTAACCTTCATCCAGGAAACTAGAGGCCATAGCAAGTAAAGGCATCATAATCATCGACAACCATTGTCATTCAAAGAAGGGAGATTACCTGTGTCCTAGAATTTCCTGTTCAACTTCTGAAATTGATAATGAATCCTTGTATCTAAGTGATTGCTGTGACCTGATTGGTTTATGCCTGTGTCAACTGTTGTTGTTGATACATGTCATTGAATTGGTTCTGATTCATGGTGATCCTGTATAGGATTTCCAAGGAGTGACTGGTGGATTTGAACCACCAATCTTGCTGTTAGCAGTCCTGTGCTTGTCCTATTGTGCCACACCAGAACTTCTGAATTACCTGCAACCATTGGTAAAGCAAAAGAGTAAGGATTACCTTTATACCAATTAGGGTCCACTTGAGGCATAGTGTCACATTCTATGTACATGATGGGGAAATGATAATTTCATAATGGGGGGAAAATAATAGTGTGTTCAAGAAGGGTTTCCCAAACAATGGAAACTTGGAAGTGGTCATCAAATGTCCATTACACTGGGAAATGTCTCCTCTGGCTTAAGAATTAATTCTTAGATTGGAGATGTGGAAAAGAATGAAATGTGGATGTGGAAAAGTAATTGTGAAAAAAAATGAAAGCGGAATCAATCTCCTCTGTCTGCATATTTATGGTCTTTTCAAATACTTTAACTTTTAAAATCATGAGTTATTTCTTATCTGATTAAGACAGTTCCATAGTATTTTATCAAAAAAACCACACATAATTAAAAAATTGTATCAATGTTAAATCAAAAGACAAATTAAACAAAACAGTTTATTGGATTAAAATCACTTATTAAGCAGATTTAGTTCTGTTGTCCATATTTGGTTTAAGTGAGATTATTTATCCCATTTAAATGTCCCATATTGTTTCTAGGACTTTGCAATGATAATCCAGATGATGACCTGAGGATGCAAAATGGCACAATCATCACCAATATGGAAGACATAGAATTATTTATTGAGAGCTGGGAAATTGAGAAATCATTTAAAGTAACAATGAGAAGACCTGTTAGGAACTGTACTGAGTATGATTGCAGCCATTGTATTGAGTTGTTAAACAGAAGACTTTTCACTCCATGCCATGATAAAGTAAGTTGAAATAAGAATTATCATGTTAGATAAAGAAAAAGTAAAAGCCGATATATTCCTGGGTCGATTTTCTCCTATTGGGAACAGTTTATTACCAAACCTTCTGTCAGTATGCCTTGGAATTCAGAATCATTTACTGTTTGTAGACTTAGACAGGAAGATTAAAGAGCACAGCCTTCGATATGGATTACATCTCAATGTCAAGAAAACAAAAATCCTCACCACTGGATCAATAAACAACATTCTTATCAATGGAGAAAAGATTGAAGTTGTCAAGGACTTCATTCTTCTTG